ATAAAATAAATAAAGAATAATCATGCTATAAATTCATTATAAATAAATTTGTTTTATTATTTAATTTTATAAAATCCGTATTAACTATTATTTTATAAATGGGGTGCTTATTTTCGAAGGTGCTTACTTTTAGTTTTTACAAACACTATGGCAAAAGTAGCAGGGGTGCTTATTTTCGGGAGGTGCTTAATTTCAAGATTTTACGGTACCTAATAGTTAAAACTCTAATAACTTATATTAAAATTATAATAAGAAACATAATAAACATTTTAAAAGCTAAAACATATTAAAAATATAGTAAAGGATATGATAAAACTATTTTGAAACAATTTTGGTAAATAACTATTAATAATTATAATTATTTGCAATTTTTACAATAACATTACCAATAAAAATTTACCTTTCTTGATAGAGAAAAAAGCTAAAGTCAGCTATTTTATTTTAATATTTATATTTTATAAATTAATTTATTATATACTTTACTAAAAATCTTTTACATTTTATAAAAAATTCAATGGTTAAAAAAAAATAGGGATCATAAAAAGCTGATATTATTTATTGCTTATTGAAAGAAATTTCCTAAAAAAATGTTTACTGTATATAATTTCATAAAATTTATTAATGTTTAAAAATTAATGAGGTGTTGGTTTATATTATTAAATAAAATTTTAAGAAAAATTTTTTTCGAAATACGCGTTTTTTTTAAAAAGTAAAAAGCGAACGTTCTTTTGACGCCGAACCGCAGCTTTAGTCATAAAGACGTCATGCCGCAATATACACGTGATTCACGTGAATAATATGTTAATGGTTAAATAATAAAAGAGGACACAACATATTGCCATTATGACCTAAATGCGGGGGTAAATGCATAAGTTTTTCATTATATAGATCAAATAAAGACACATGCAATTTAATTTGTGTATTTTGTGTCATCTTTGGTGTAAATTAACGGTCAAAGAGGATCTAATTTTAATTAAGTTATAAAAAATTTATTAATGAAAACTTTATTATTTCAAGAAGTTCATTGTTATCAAAGGGAGTTTGACCATAAAAAGGCTGATTGTGTGGCATCTTAGTGAAGGTGAAACCACGCAATAGCAAATGACGAATGAATAAACACCCGTTTTCCCCTTACTACGTTATCACGATATTAACGCAATTAACGTATCACAACTCCTTCATTTAGTAATAAAATTAAAATAAAAAAAGGATAGAGAGAAAAGGTATGTTTGAAATTTTTATTTCAAATTACATCTTTGCACATAGTCAAACATGATTTTGCATGTTATCTTTGTTAAACAAAGACAAATAATCTAAGAATTTGTTTGGATAAAAAAAAAAAAAATAAATAAATGAAAAAAAAGGAAATTTTCACGATCCGTTGTGAATTTTTCTCATATTTGGCATCGGAGTACTATTTATTATTTATTATTTAATGAGCTCGGTTTAGTAATGATAAATGTAGTGAGATATTGAAGGAAATAAGGTTCCGAGAAATAGCTTGATTTGAACAAAATCTTGTGATCGATGACACCATCAGATTAATTTATGTAATCCATTTAATCCATTTGATAAATGGCGTATTGGTAGAAAGTGGGCCTCTTCTCATGGCAGGTTTTAGATATTCAAGATAGAGTGATCAAACTTTATTGAAGAATAACGTCGGTAAACAAAAAAAAAAAAAAATAATTGCACAAATCATATGAATATTTTTTTTTCTGTTCGATAATTTAGGTACTTTTGTATCGAAAATCGGTAAATAAAAAAGTAGTACTTCCGTTATTGCCATCAACAATGCAAAATTCATTTGAATTAAAAAGTTTGATTAAAGGAAATTTTAATAATAATCACATAGCGTGATATATAAAAACAAACAAAAACGCCTATTTTAACATCCATTGTATTACAACTACCTGATTTGGCTTCATTGTTTCTGGAACTGTTTTGCCCTTTATCCGAAAATCGGTGCTATTGTGTATATGTAATGTGAAAATTTCCATTGTTTTAGGAAACTTGTAAAACTCTGCTTCCCCTATTTTTTATTTATTTTACATTTACAATGATTTTCTAAGGGGTTAAATTTTTGGAATTTTTAATTTTCAACGAAGGCTCGATGGTTCCTATCACGACAATAAACATGCATGATAACTTTTTGTACTTTCTGGAAAATTCGACCTTCGCATTCAAACCGAGGAATTCTCCAAATTTAGTTAGGATCGGTCGTTTCTTGGGATTCTTTTAGTGTAATAAGGGAAATTTATTGATATGTATTCAATCTTTTTAAAGCGACCATGCGTTCAAGGCCGCGCGTGTAAATCAAAGCGTCTGTAAAGTTGATCAAAATAAATGAAAAAAAAAATCAACCGTGGATTGACGCGTTTCATTCCTTTTGGTATGTGGGGTGATGTCAATTTTCATGAATAATAATAATAAAGGTACTGAATTTCGCACGTTATGCAAGTACAATCTGATTTCTAAATTAACAGCCTTTTTTTTTTTTGCATTTGATAATCTTTTTTTTTGTCACTTTCCTAAATAATATATATTATAAGCCGAAAAGAAAGAAAAATCGTAAAAGAAACTAGTTATCTGATCGTCTCGGGAATTTCCGAAGCTTGTAATCTTTAATGGGAATCATTGCGACGCAGCAAATCCTTTACGCTGGTTGTTGTCCTTGTCTTTCTTTCGTTTCGTGGAATTTTAAATTTTTAAGGTTATTGTTTTATCATCCGAATGGCATATCAAAAGAGGAGAAACTGTCGGGAAAAAATTTTTTCGGACCCGAGATAATGTTATAATGTGGCGCAGTTTACTTATTGATTACCTACAAGAAACGCGTCAAAACTCCATTTTTTAATTTGTAAATCATTTGGAAAATTCTTATTGAAAACTCTGTAATATTTCTAAAAGAATTTGAGGTTTTATTATTTTCAATCTTTTTTTTTTTTGAAATTTTGAAATTTTGTAAATTTTTTTTTTTTTTTTTTTTTTTTATAAACAAGATTAAAGAAAGCGAATATTATTTTTTGAAATATGATACAAGAAAAATATAAAAAAAAAACGATTTTTTTTTTTGTTCCGGCAAAAAAAAACCTCCGAAATATTAAATATAATAATGATCATTCTTTTATAAGTACTCTAAAATATTGGAGGTAAATGAGTAGTAACTAACTAAAATCACGAAAAAAAAAAGTACATATGTACATAATTAATTTTTTTTTTTTTTTTTACATATATAAACAGAGAAAATAAAAAAAAATATATAAGAGAAATTTTTCTAATTTAAATGTTCGATATCGTTAATTAATAGTCTAAAGATTATTATTCGAGTTGTAAGTCTAAAATTATTCTAGGTTTAATTAATTAATAAATTATGCTTGTGTTTTTACTGTCTCGGCGTATGCGCCTCGTCTTCCTTCTAATGCCGCTAAAGCGTCTTTTACGCCGCCTTGTTTGGAATGGCCTTTTGGTACACTACCTCGCCTCTCGCCATGATACTCCTCCTTAACTTTCTTTGTTGGTTTTGTTGGTGAATTTTTTGCTGAACTTGAATGTGTTTGACTCTTTGATAAACGATCAAATACGTTATCGCCTGTCGGTGTTTCTGACCTTGTATGTGTATGATGTGCTAATGATGCTCGTTGTTCACTGGTCATGCTAGTCACACTTTCTGCATCACTGTCGTGTCCATTTGAACTTTGACGCATATGATATGCTGCTGTAATATCTTTGGAACCTCGTCTCGCCATACTGCTGTGCGATCTTCGCTTATCAGCGCTGCTAAAGTATCCACTATCTCGTGGTCCATCGTTTCCTGATTCTGCATAGAAGCCCATGCTTGTTGAACTATTTTGTCGACTATGTAAGATGGAGGACTGAAGTGATCCCCGTCGTGAATTTGATGCTAGACCCCCAGATCTCGTTCTTTCTAAGGGTAAAGGCACACGTGGGTGCTCATGGCTACTACCAACATCCATTGAAACTGTGGTTGTAACATTTGATGGAACGTTCTCATCTTTTGGTGTTGATGGATTTGAAGAACTATGGGAAGAGCTATTGGTTGGTCTTTTTAATCTTCGCCCATTTGAACTTCTTCTCTTTACATTATTGCTACTACCGGAATTGCTGCCGTTAGATTCACTAGAGTCTTTTCTCTTTGTGGCTGAAGATGAGACGTTTGGAGCCTCATTGGATTCAACTACACCCTTTTCACGAGGTTGAAGATTTAACCATCCGGAGGGGATTGGTGGTCTCGAAAAACTTGTCCTATTGCCGGAATTCATTGGACTCCCGGACAAAGGTGAAGCATTTACAGGTGAAGAGAAGAAAGCTGCGTCATCACTTTCAAATAGATATGAGTTGCGTCTTGATCCAGGAGTTCCAACAAGGCTATTCCTGCGTGATACCGCGGCTTCTACTTGCGCCAAAGCTTGATCATAGATACGATCAAATAAGGATATGGTGTTTGAAGCGTCATTCTCGATATCATCCATTTGCAATTCTTTCTTTTCGGAAGTTATTGGGCTTGGTGCTCTTTCACCACGTCGAAGAGCTTCTTCGAGTCCTTTGTTTTTCTTTTCATATTCAACCGTTGTAAGCACTGCAGCTCTTCGCATGGCCAATAATGTCTTTCTCAAGTCGTTGATTTGTTTATCTTGTTGAGCGAGTGTCATTTGACGTGACCAATCCCCAGTTCGAAGGTCAACAATGTCTTTAAAGAATGATTCCAATACTGCTTGAGTTTCGTATGAATCCAAACTTCGCAAAATGTTAACGGCAGTGTCATATGAAGTTTCTGGTGTGGCATTTTCTGGTAAGGAAAAGGAGAGTTTCTTTTCTGTTTTACCGATCTTGCTATTCTTTCGTGGTTTTTCGGCAGCATCTTTGCTGGTTTCACCATCAGCTTTGTGATTTTCATTTGCTTCTTGTTCCGCGGCAACACCTCTAGCAGCTTCTGATTGTAAACCTCGAATCCTAGCATTAATGTAAGTCATCTCTGAATCGATCATTTCAATCTTGTCATCCAAAGCTTGTGCATCACCATCAAGTTCATTTCCACATTCGCTAATGATGATTCTTTCACGCTCTTCAAGAAGTTCTTTCTTTTCCTCTTGTAATTTTTCGCGCTTAACGATCAACTCATCCATCATTGCTAATGTTTGACGACCACTAATGTATTTGAATATGGCCTCGTCAAGAAGTCTCTTCTTATCGTAACCACTACCGAATACTTCATCGTGGATAGCATTAATGTCGTCAGAGGTTCGTCTTGACTCTTTGCCATCATCATTTTCAGCTGCCACTTGGTTTCGTCTATGATTACGGAAAACTTTGGAGATTGCTTTGGGAGTTGACGTTCGTTTGAGCAATGTCGTAACTGATTTGAGTTTTCCAGCCGTTTGCAACATTTCTTTTTGTCTCTTTTCGAGCATTATCTTTTGCATTTCATTGGTTCTTTCAAGACGTTTCTTTTGTTCTTGGGCAGCCTTTTCTTTACGACGAAGGGTTTGGATTTCACGTTGATTACGTTCAGTCATTTCACGAACACGTTCGGCTTCATCCTTCATGCGTTTCATCATACGCATCTTTTCAGCTTTAAGTTGTTCGATTTGAGCGCGCATGCTCTTAAGCATTGTTTCGTTTTGATTTTTCGAGGTATTGTTGGATTGGGTAGCTTCATTGTATTTACGACGAAGTTCACCGATTTCTTGAATGAGACGTTTCATCTTGTGTTCGTAACGAGCTTTAAGTTCGGCAAGGATTGAACCCTTGTCACGAGTGCTAACACCAGAGCCAGCATTTTGAGCACGCTTGACAGCAACATCTCTTTCACGCTGCAAGTTGATCAAATTTTCTTGCATGTTTGCCAACCTTTGTTCATATTGGGCTCTCATGTAAGTAAATTCTTGTTCAGCACGTTCCAATTGTGTGACGAGTTGTTCCTTGACGGCAATATCAGCTTGAATTTGATGCAACATACGTGTGAGTGCGATGGCATTTTGTTGTTGAGATGAACAACCAGTGCTGTTCTGTGAAGATTTGGTCGAACCAGGAGAAATCGGTTGATCGGAGAAACTAACGGAACGGCTAGAGTTTGAGGTGCGGCGAGTAGCGGTAGCTGTTGGTGGTGTTGTGTTTTCTTGCCATGCAGGAACTTCAATTGTTTGAATTTCACTGAAAGATACACTGCTTGACCGTCTCTTCTCCTTGGCGTTATTTGGCATCATTTGGTCGATGTAACTTTCGCTCTTGGTAGATGAAGGCATCTTGACTAGTTGACTCAAAAGAGGATCGTCATGTAAGGAGCCTCCATTCTTGATAAACAAGAGACCCTGCTTGATTTGTTCCTTGGCTTTTTCGAGCTTCTCTCTGGTCTTGCTGCGTCTTCTCAATTTTCGGGTGAATTTGAATTGACCTTCACCATCCCAATTTTCACCATCAGGTCTTGCAGTTTCATCATATTCATCAACGTTTTCTTCATCTTCCTCCATTATGTCATCTTCATAATGAGAAAATAAGTTTTTGGCATCTTCCAAGTTTGAGGGTTTAACCGGTTGAAGTTGAAAGGAGGATGAGGGACCATCAATTGGGGCAGCTGAAGTTCCATCGGAAACCGGGAAATGACTATCAGCTCTTGGCTTGCTTTTCCTTGATGATGAACGTCTCTTTTTCTTTTTACCCTTCTTTTCTCCATCACTCTCATTATTATTATTATTATTATTTTCGCTATTAATGTTAGGATTGTTTTCATCAGAAGGATAGTGAGGGTCGGAGAAGGAGATACGATGACTCTTATCCCTTCCAGAGCTTTTTGCCAAAGAAGATTTACGTGGATTGTGAGTAGTCGATTGAGCAGCTTGAAGATCTGAGATCTGATTTTTAAGGTCGAGAATCTCAGTTTCATAAGATTGAACGATATGATGGGTTTTCATCTTGTGTTCACGATCGGCGTCCGAAAGGTCTTGACCATTAAAACTTTTATCCATTAAAAGCGTGTTCCTTTCGGTTTTGACCATGAGGAGTTCTTGTTCGGTAGATTGAAGTTTCATTTTGGCCATTCCCAATTCTCCTTTAAGATTGTTAATCTCTACTTCATATTTGTGAGCGGTTTCTTCATTACAACCACCAGAGAGCAAAGTTTGGATTTCCATCTTTAATCGACTGATTTGCCCACGGAGCTGATTAATTTCTACAGAGTTGCCACCATAACTTTCATTAACGCTGACCTTATTTTTAATATTACGAGCCCGATTGGCATATTTAAGTGTGTTTAAGGTTTCCATGAAATTTGAGTCTGCGGGTGACACACAAGCCAACATCAGCGTTTGACTGTTACCACCGAGCGAATCTTGTAATAAACGCGTTAACTTTGAATCTCTGTATGGGATATGTGTCACCTTTCGTGATTCATCACCAAGCGCACTGATTACATTACCAAGGGCCAATAGACCCCCATTAATCGCTATTCCTTCCTTTGCTCTGTCGCCTATTGCATTGGTTCTCTTTAACTATGTGTATGATGTGCAAGGTTGATTTTTGATTTTTGATTTTTTTTTGAATGAATGAATGAATGATAAACGAATTGATTAGGTTTGATTGTGTGAAATAAAGCATATATTGGAATCGAGGAACTGAAGTTTGAGACGTTACCCTTTCTGAACCAGCCAAATCTACAAAGTGGAATTTGGAAATGACTTTGGATGTTAATGATTTTTGTTTGCTCTTTCTTTTTGAAGCGGATGAAGTTTCAGCGGGAGGAGCATCATTTTCTTTGTTTTCCTCTAGGTTTTCAATCTTTGTTTGTTTCAGTATTACGGAAAAGATGGCGTGTGATCGTGAAGACACCATGTTCATGTCTGTTGAAGCGACGGTTCGACATAACGAACCTTTTTGTAATTGACTAAAAAAGGGGGGAGAGAATGAAGACGGGTTAGAATTTATAAAAAAAAAAATAATAATAAATAAATAAATACATGAACACATATGATGCATACCCTAAGAGTTCTTCCGGGGATGAAACTGAGACCTCTTTCACACCGGCCCAATATATTTGACCATTTGCGTCTTCTCTTATCATCAAATCGCTCTTTCCTTTTTTATGATTTTCTCTGTTTTGTGGGTTTAATAAATCTATTAAGTCTTCATTATATAATTCTAGGAAAGATACGAGAACTTCGAATTCATAAGAAGGGTTATTTGCTTTTCGTTCGTTTAGATCATCAAATAATCTATATATGGCACGTGGGACGATCCCTGAAAAGTAAAAGCAATGACGTCATCGGTTAGATGTCGATCATTATTTTGTTATTGTTGTATTTGCAAGGGTAATTATTAAATTACCTTGATGTTCGGGCGGTATGTCTGACCCGTCTAAAGCGGTACCCATGCTATATGTTTTGCCACTACCGGTTTGACTATAAAAGTAAAAAAGGGAAATTAATAGAACGTTTTAAAACGTTTACAAGTTAAACATAAAGATTGTTAATTACTTACCCATATGCAAGAATGGTAACATTATATCTAAAAATAATAAAAATAATGAAAATAATTGTCAACAATGGTTTTATTATTTAATGTTTTGAAAGAAAATGATGTCATCAATAACATAAGCTCAATTTGATATGTTGTGACACGTCGGAATATTAACCGAATTTTTTTTTGCGTGACGTAACCTTAAATGTTGAACAAACTTACCCTTCGACTAATTTATCAAGTAATGGGCGTGCACAGTCTTGGAAGACGTCTTCTTGCTCTGTTTCTGATGGGAATACATAATCGAATGTGAAAGAACGGTCGGTTCCAATGAGAATTTGTGGTGCGTCTGGTATTATCGTTAAACATTCGCTGCAATTTTGTAAAGTCTCTTTGCTATTGAGTGGTCTGACTCTTAAAGCGACACTATAAGAAAGTAGAGATTCAAGATGAGCGCGAGGACAAAACGTAAGAGACGAAAGTTAAGAAGTAATTATAGACGAATATAAGGGAGGGGAAAATGGGAAGGAGGGAAGAAAACTCGGAGTTCATTAGGACATTTCTTTGATTTTACTTACCGTACTGAAGTTGTGGCCATGTTTGTTATGTATGTATATTGTAGAGGAAAGAATAATTCGTTGGATATGAAGGAAAAGGTTTGTAAGAGCAGAAAAAATAAAATTATAAAAAAAAGAATTTTGAAGGATTTTATTGTTTGTAGTATACAAGAAGGTAAAGCGAAAGATATATTATGTACAAAAAGAAAAGAAAAAAAAATTTATTTTTCTTTTAAATAATGTTTTTATAAGGGTGGTTTCTTTTTCTTTCTTTTTTTTTTTTTTTTAAAATGAAAAAGAAAATGTAAAAAAAAGGGGATTTCAAGATGTATTTATAAATTATTTGTGTTTCTAAAAAAAAGTATTTCGATAAAAAAAACGAAAAAAAAAAGTTATTTGTACTGTAAAATTTTTTTTTTTTGAGGTGATATATTTCTGTGTAATTGTGATTTTTACACCGTTTTTTTTTTTTTTTTTTCGATTATTATATATTAAAATATATTAAAAAAAAGTAGATAATAGAGAGAATAAATAAAATAAAATTCGAATTCTTGAGTTTATTTTTATTTTATTTTTATTTTTATTTTTTTTTTGGTGAAGGCAAGAATTCTTTTCTATCAATGTGGAGAAGAGTAGGAGAAAAATTCAGAGCCTTCAAGTCTCTCTTTTTATATATTTTTTTGTCGAGATTTTTTTTTTTTCAATTTTTTTTTTTTTTTTTATTTATTTATTTATTAATTGATATTTTATACATATAAATTAATATATAAAATGTACTTTAATGTACTCTAACTAAACCTCACATCCATCTTTTTCACTCCCCCCGATATTAATCATCATTCTTGTGGAACACCCACTAATCACTTCTTTTCTTATATAAATAAATTAATTATCTAACCTAGTTTTTTTTTTTTATATAAACGTTATTTTAATTATACATCTAATTATTTATATTACTTTTTTTTTAAAAGATTTAAATTCAAAATCCTCTGAATAAATATATACCTATTTTTATTTTAAATTCGATTACGCGTTAATACAGCTTAATAAGGCGCATCATTTAACATTAATAAAAAAAAAAAAGAACCTGCTTGCAATAGTTCGGATGCTCTTTTTTTTTTTTATTTTTTTTTTTTAATTGTTGCCAATTCTCACCTTATGCCATACATAACTTGATGGTTTATTTATGTGAGAGATATGCAATATTAAGAAGACCAAATTCAACAACCAAAAAAAAAAAAAGAGAAACAGGTTTTTTTTCGTGTTTTCACCTTAAGAAGACAAGTGTGACATAAAAAAAGAGATTATAATAATTATAACAATGTGATGTATGTTTCTTGTAGAAAAACATCTAATTTAAAAAAATGTACATTTATGCCTAAATGCTTGATGACTAAAAAAAAAATGTTTCCCCCCTCACCTCCAAATTATAAGGTAATAAGTATGTATAAATATTTTGAAAGTATTTTAATATTGACCGAGAAAATTTGTAATTGAACCGAAAATGTGTTCCGATTGACTAACTTTACTAATGTAAAGAAGGAACACGTAACTTTATCGAATCGTAATAATGTGCAACCCTCCAAATAAGGCACAATTAGAAAGAAAGGTAAACCCTTAAAAGATTCATTCCGTATTATAACGATTTTAGCTTTCTTTTATTTCTTTCGCTCTCTTTTTCCTTTTTTTCCTTTGCAATTTGGAAATGACGCAAATCCTTGTATCGCGTTTGATAATAATGACCCTATGTAAAGAAATTCGAAAATAATCCTTACCATATAGTGAACGATTAATTGATAACTATCGGATTTAAGATAATTTCGGAATGCTAGTTATCGGAATTACTAGATATACTAAGGTTAGCACTGTTTTAAGAATATCCATAAAGCTACGCGCAGTATATTATTAGGATTATCTTTCAATGTTGTGAAAGGTTTTACGAACGAAATCGACACGAAACATGAAAAGGAGGAGATTTGGGAAGGGAAAGGGAGGGTCAATAACTGTAATTGAGTTACAACCTATCGTGAAATATTTTTATTCCATATTTTTTTTTGTCTTTTTGTCTCTTCGTTGACCGATTTCTATGGTTTGTTTTAGATCGTTCAAGGTAAATAATATGGAGGTAAGTGAAATGAAGATCCTCAACTTTATAATTATTCATTGAAGGTCATGAAATAACGTTTAGACTATTCCCGAGATAGAAATGGAATAATTGCAGAAGATTTCAATCTTCTTCTACCCCACTTTTTTTCATGTATCGACCGTATCTTCCACCAAATCTCACCTTAATAGTTGGATACTCTTCACTCCACAAATCAATGTTATAACAATGTAGGTCTTTTGGGAGAATCATCAACAATGAACGCACTTAATATGTTTTCATGTATGTTGTCGCTCCGCTTTCTAACGAACCTCTCCATCATGTAAAAATAACAACATTATATCAGCATGTCTGTACAGAAAGAAATTCATTCTCGTTCTCGTTCTCGTTCATTCACATTCACATTTTCATTTTTTTCATTTTTTTTTTTTTTTTTCTTCCAGCCTTACTTAAAAAAAATTATACTACGTTACTATTATCTATTAAGGTTAGTTTTTTTTTCCACATAATGCAATGTTCTCTCATCGATTTTTATTTTCAACATCAAAAAGTCGTTTTATTATTTTTATTATGATGATTTTTACAATTTTTATGATTGTTAGTTATTATTATTATTAATTATAAATTTTACGATTAATTTTTTCAATGATCACAACAATTATTTCCGAATGACATGTTCACATGATGACTTTTTAGAGTTAAATTCGTAATTCGATTTGCTTCCGCAACTACCAACTTAAAATTCCCACATAAGTACATACCGGTTCATGCACATTATTTCACTTTATCGCTGTATATAATAATCAAGTTTTTTTTTCCTTTTTACATTGTTCTTTTTTTGATTTTGATTATCAATAGAGCTTCTTGATATATAAATATATATAACTGATTGAAAGGAAACACTGTGATTGATAACATTTATTTTATATTTATGGCGTTATATATGCGTTTATCGCACCTTCTGACCGTCCAAATACATATCTCGTACATATGCAACTTACCATTTTTTTTTAAAAAAAAAAATTCCAAGATTAAGAGAAATTATATAAAGCGGATTGAGGCTCGTCTTTTTCTTGACGATCAAGTAATTTGATTAAAACTTTTTTTTTTTTTTTGTTTTGCTTTTTCTTGAATTTTGGCGATAGTTTTTGAAAATCTAAATAATAAAGATTCGTTTTGTTTACAAAATAAATTATCTTGTTTTTAAACAGCTTTTTACAATTTTTTTTACACAATGTTTTTAAATCTATTGGCTTGTTTTTTTTTTTTTTTAGATAAATAAAATGGACGCGTCTATAAGGAAAAATTTTTTCCCATTTGGAATTTCAACATTTACCGTTTTACGCGTAATAGGATGTTACCGCAGTAGAAGGTCATACGACGTCAAAACGGTTTATTTTACTGCATTTGAACAAGTACGCTTGGCATGATATTCTTTTTGTTGTGTATTTAGAGACGCTAACCGGTATTTTCTTTACTATTTATTAAAGGAAATCTTATCATCTTAAATTTTTCGCCACCTGTCGATTAAAACAATGATCTTAACAAGTTTCGTATTATGTGTTATGCAAAGCAAGTCATAATTGAAAAAAAAAAAAAAATGTTAATAATGTTTTACTAAATTCGATTGTTATGTTTTTTTAATATAATCCTGTTAAGAAGATCTATTATAGGGTCTTAAACAGCCTGAACGAATCGGGTAACCCCGCCAAAAAGAATTTTCTTTTTTCAATACAATGATGATGTAAGTATTCGCCAAGTCTTTGTTCCATTATAATACTCATTATTATTGCCATGTTCAGGTTTATTTATCATTCACATGATTATCTCGTATTAAGGTTTATTTTTAACTCAAAAGCGTACCCGGCATGCCTTTTTTTTTCACATGAATGGTCTGGAGCAAATAAGATTAAGATTAAATTTAATCAGAGATCGGAAAAAAATAAGGTGAGAATCCGAAAGTCATGATCAAAATTTTAAATTAGGCTCTATTTTTTTTTTTTTATTTCTTTCAATCATGTTCGAAAATGAATTGATTTAAGTTTCATTTTATGCTTTCGGATCCGATGTCTAACAAATAAAAAAAAAGATCATTTTATTTTTAGATTATTGTTTTTTTTTTTAAAAAAAAAAGCGAGTATTCATTTTCGGATATCATGCATACATGTTATTAACCTTATGACTCATGACTTATCTATCCTAAGGAAAAAAAAAAAAAAATAGAAAATAAAAAAAAAAACAGAGGATCACACCATATTTTCAATCAAAAGATTATCACCGAAACTTAATATGAAAAATTGGGACAATGAATATTAACACAAAATTGATGACGGTTGCAAATCAATAATAATAATAATTATGGATTATTATTTTTTTTACTTAACGTGGTCTGAATGACGATTTTTATTTCAAAATAAAGTAGCGCATTGAAAATCCCTCATTTTTTTTTTCTTTTTTTGATAAACAATTAACCAATTTTGCATAATGATAATAATATCAATTGGCATTAATGACAAACGTCTAATATCCATTACATTGTTTTCAAATTTTTTATTTTTGTTTTTTTTTCCAAAAGGTAATCTTTCTTTTGAAACACTTCACATTAAAAAATAAACAACAGGTGTATGACCGTAGATTATTTGTTTTATTTGTTGTGAATCCACTTTCCCAAAAAAAATAAAAAAAAGGTATTTTCCTGTTCTAAATTATCCCCGAATAAACAATACGCGGAAAATAATAGGTATAACATCATTTTCAATATTAAATTAATTAGCTCCTCACTAATTGAAATTAAACTCGTGTTTGTTACACCAACCCTTTTTTCCAAATTTGTATCATAAGATTTGGTAAGCTTCTGCTAATTTGGAAATTTGTTAATATCTGAGATTATTAAGAAAAAATGTTTAACAATATAAATAAATAATGTAAAATATTAATTAAATATATAAGTTCTGAAAGGGGGAGACAAATTATCGACCCAATTTTAGCGTCAAAAATTTTTGAAGTGCCGCAGCATCTCGCACGCAAGTTCCACTTAGTTTCCGCATAACAAGTTAAAGGGAAAAAAAAAATCCAGGAATTGAAACTTGAAAAAAAAAAAACAAACCGATAATGACAACCGATAATGTGGTGGTCTATGCCCCCCTGCTTTTCCAAATTTTCTTCTTTTTTTTCCAGAGATAAAAAAAAAAAAAAATAAAATAAAATAAATAAAAAGCCAATTCTCCAAATGAAACCAAGAATGTTGTGTAAGAATTATTTACAAAATGAGCACTTTTTGAGAAAGTTAATAATGTCATTAAGAATATTACAAGTTTCACTTTATATTCAATTACGCATCCATTAGAATTATTCTGGTAAAGTATGTGAATTTTTTTTTTTCCCCACTTTAAAATATTCCCAATTAAAATAAAGAAAAAAAATATTTTAAAATAGAAAATTTTAAAAATATTCTTTTTGAAACAAAAAAAACTCATCTGATGTATGTTTATGCGAATATTTCAATACTATATTCCGATGAGATTGTTTGGCAATGGTGACACTACCGACGAAAATCCATATCTAACTTCGTAATCGACTTGGTTCACAAACTTGTTAGATATCTTGTTTTTTTTTTTTTTTCCTTCCATTATATTTTCGATTATAATAATCAACCATATCAACCATATCAACCATATAAATATAGATGAAATGTATGATGGTAGCAAAAATTATAGTTTTAACTAAAAAAAAAATAATCCCCCCTTCTTTTTTTTTTTTTGGTTTTTTTTTCTCGCTTGCTTCCGCTCTCATTCGATTGATAGGGTCCGGCACTGTTTATCGTATACATGTGTTCAAAAATAGAGGAACGTTTGACCAATATACAGATATATATTTTTTTTTTTGTCAAGATATCACATCTTGGGAACTTCATTGGGCAATTCAAATATTGTAACATTTGTTAAAAATTTATCGCTTTAGAGTTGTAAATAAAGACGCAAAGGGTATAATTGATAAATAAATTATTAATTATTTGTAATTTGTTACTTTGTGCGTGGGTGAAAAAAAAATTTTTATTATTGACCCACGCAATCAATTTACACGCACGACGACGCTTGTTTGTTTGGAAAAGCACCTAAATTTAGCTAATAAAGAAAAAAAAAAAAATCTCACAAATTCCGTCTCCTTTTTAATCTTTGTATCAGGAAAATGCTCGTAATGGGAAACTGGAGCGTTTATCCCTCTTTTTTTTTTTTGCTGCTCGGAGACGATAATGTGCGTGTTTGTTGTTATTCATTGGGCGTAAGTTATCGACCTTTATTTAACTCGCTTGTTTATTTACTTTTTTTAATCAGATAGCTGAAACGGATTAGAAAAAAAAAAAAAAAATTTTTTTTTGATACAAGGTTGAATGAATATAATTTTGTTGATGATTTACGCGTTTTTGTTTGTTTGCTTTTTATTTTATTTTATTTTTTTTTCTCTGTTTCATGAATCTCTTCCTCATTCATTAAGGATTACCAATACCGCAATTCGTTTACATGAGTGCAAACTGCAAGAAGAATAATAAATAATAAACAAAACAAAAAGCATTTGAAAACCCCCCCGTTGATGCAAGGTCGCGTAAAATGGAAATTAATTCGATGAAAAAAAAAAGCCGAAAAATCGATTATCAAAATATCGGAGAGTGTAAACATTGACACCGAGGTGCCACCGTTTTAAATGAGATTATTATTGGAAATATGAGAGATTTTATTTAAAGACTGGCAACCATTCGACCGCTCGCCCGGGTACTTTCGCTTAACGTGGTCTTTGCACTTTTTGAACCAGAGTTGTGTGTATTCGGAGAAATTACGTGAATTACACAAAATTATCGGGAGAGGTTCATTCATAAAAACGTAATGGGTGATTCAAAATATCGTCATCATGTGCCAGGTTACAAGAATCTAGATTTCGAATAATATATTCTCACGGTCAATGGACAAACGGGTATCTACTGTTTAATATTAACAAAAATTCACGGGTATAAAAAAATCAATAAGATGATCCAAATTTGGAAGGTTATTGATTTCCTATATATATATAATATCACCATCATCACTTTGCCGCAGGATGACATGATTTTTTTAGACCGCATTTCCTTTTATATGCACAAAACGATCTGTATACTCTAAGAATTTAAGGTCCGTCAAGTGACAAAAAATCACAGTTAATAAAGTATGTTTATTTATTTACCCAGCCATTCAACGATTGATGCGAAGAGAATCAGTTTCCATAAGAAAAAAATATTTCGTCATTTGAGAGGCGACAACAATTTGTATACAAAGGTATTGAGAAATAGGTGGTTTTTGTTCGGCTTTTAATTGTTAGGCAAAACGATTGTTAACACAGAAAAGTGGCGATTGTGTTGGTGACATGAAACGTTTTGGATGACTGTGATGGTGAGGAATAAAGCCATACCATGGGGGGGGGGGGGGTGGCGTAATTTGTCTCACCAACAGGTTTCTTATGAGATCATCCTCAATCCAACCATATCGATCCAAACTAAAGCAAGATAAAGTTTTGTGGTACGATGGTTAACATTCGAAGGTGACACTATTGTGTGATTTCCTTTAATGGGTCTATAGTCTGTAAATTTTGTAAATGATATAATCATTCTATCTAACCGTCGGGTAAATTCAAAGTTAATTGTTGGAAATGGTGGTAAATTGCGGAAAATTGTTTGTAAACAAGAAAACGTGAAGAAAATTAACCCAAAAATTTCTAACCTTAAAAAAAAATATATATATATATATATAATAAATAAAAAAATATATAAATATATCGATATCGATATCTATATCTATATTTATTTTATTAAACCTTATTAAAATTATAATATTTATAGTTTCATAAATCTAGATCTTCAGATATTGCAACTTGCTTATATCATCGTTAAGTAATAAGGAGGAGTGAGGAGCCGTTTGAAGATTTTTTTTTTTTTGTACGATGGACCTTCCGACTCGAAAAGGTGTAGATCCCAACGTTGCTAATACTTTTCAAGTTTTAAAAGGGAAAAAAAAATCTCATTTTCGTTCAAATTACTATAAATATAATTTCAACCATAGTGCTTGTGATGATAGTAAATGTTCTATGATGAAATATCTGTATGTACGTTAAGCGTCATATAACCACCGAAATGTAAAATGTAAATTGTGCATTAAAACTTAAATTGGCGTAAATCTATTATTATATCATGATATATCAAAAGTTGAACCATCAATACGAGTTATAAAATGTGTACAAAAAAAATAAGGCTCAAAGGTTGGAACGAAAATTCTTCTGACAGAGTGAAAGTTTGTAAACTAATATCGTCGAAAAAAAAAGGGGGGGGGGGGGTTCTTGGAAGAGAACGTTAATGAATTATCTTATCTATCAAATGTACAAATTTGGGAAAGGTACTTTTTTTTTTTTTTTTAAACAAAAGTTCTTTTTCATTCTACATAAAAAATTTAAAAGAAAATTGGGAAATGATTTTAACGTTAATAAAATACGGTTAGGGCTTTTTTTTTTTGCATAACGGTCCGAATTTGACAAATGCTTGTGTTTCTCGTTTTCATTTTTTCATTGCTTTATTAATTTCCATTTCCTATTTCTTATTCAATGAGGTTCTTCATTCTGAGATATACGAGATAGGTGATCGAACCGGTTTAAAATCTCGAAAATCTTGGCACAGCCTAACCACTTTAGAAATTGTGAAATGAGCACAATTCTGGGGTTATTTTTTACGATTGGTTTTTTTGTTTGGGAATAAAAAACGTTAAATTTCGAGTTGTACCGTGAAATCGAATTGGTGCTTGAATAATGGCAATTGTGGTATCCCATTGAAAAAATGAAAAATTTTCAATGAGCTCCGGACTCCATTAGCAGGTATACAAAATATCATTTGCATGCCGCAGCTCTATAAACCTTGCTTTGGACATTTTTTTCCATTCGCCTCCGATGTCAAGTACGACAGGTATTAGCGGTGACACTTGTCATGACATCACGGATCACTTCTAAATCGTAAAAACATCATTACTCCACACATAGCAATATTCCGATGCATCAGGAAAAACTTGTATTTTTTTTTTTCTTGGTTTCACGATTACTTTCACCCCAAAGTTTTGTGCTTTGCAACCTTTTCTCATTGTTTAATTAAGATACAATCACTGGATGGCAACGTGCATGGTTCGACTTTTAACATGGATATTTTAGTTCATGTACTTTGGTATATTTGACAGATTTATTTATGATCTAGCATTCAAGATGCCGTAATTTTTAACCTAAAACGAATGTTATAATTATTTAATGAACCCTAATACGACCTAGCTTTTTAATAATAAACAGCTTTCTTTAATTATACTTGATTGTCGCGTATTTTTTTATTTTTTTTTTTTTTTCAAAGTCAGCTGGCCCTTTTGCTCTTGCTTGTTTCAACGCAATAAAACCAAAATCACCATGCGATTGTCATAATACTTTTTATTTGCCCCAACGAAAGATCATCTTCCTTTCCATCCTTTCCATCCTTCCATGCGTGGATAAGTCCTTGCGTCTTAGTTTGTTGGCGAAATTCTCGTTTAAGTAATCGGTCTTTGGATTTGTTTCAGGGGTGACATTTAAAAGTAAACCAGTCCGTCGACAATAATGCAATTGGCGCCGTTGTTTACCTCTTGCCCTTACCATAAGCGAGAAAAATAACAGGAACCCCAAGGGTTTCAACTCAACTTATTCATAACACCTTGGTCGTCTCTTAAAGGTTTCTCATCAACGCGCATAGATTGCGTGACCTCATTGTTTACCTAGAGTCAATTGCAGCTGCGTCAACGCGCATTCATGAATGCGCGTCTTTCCCTGCCGTTAATCACCTACTCTAATTCATTGATGAAACGATTCCCAATTTTTTTTTTTTTTTTTTAAAAAAAAAAAGAATATCAACATCAATGCCGTACACAAATATTTTTGAAACTCCCAACTGTAGATGAATTATGAAATCAAAAGAAAGGGTTGAAATCGGTTAATAGTCAATTGGTTGTGAATTAATAATGATTAATGCATTAAATAAAAATTTTTTTTTTTTTGTTTACCAAGTTAAGGAATGTTGAATATACATCTTGTTGGGGCACGTAATAATTTTGAGAAAAACTATTTTAACATAAATGAGGTACATGAGGTACAGCATGAACGGGTGTCGCAAAATGCGCATTTTTTTTTTCACTTGTCCAAAAGCCCAAGCGTCCTTATACTTTACTCATCTTTGCCATTTTTAACTTATCGTCTAAGATTTTTGACCTAGGATTAAATTTAGAGCATGGGTAGGTAACTTTAACGAAACACGAGTCAACATGCGATAGACATTTTTGGATTACAATTAACTAGACTATTATTTTTTTTTTTTTTTTAAAAAAAAAAAAGGTGACATTTTTATCGGACGATTATACCCAAAAAGGTGATGCTTTAACCAAAATCACGAATTCGACGTTCTATTTTTTAACTTGGAATAAAAGAAGTACGTTTTGCGAATCCGTTGGGGAATTTACGTATAATTGGTATGATATGACAGGATTATAATAAACAAGGCGTAGGTAGGGTAGGGTAAGGGAAAAAAAAAATTTTTTTTTTTTTTTTTATTATACATTAAAACGTTCGGACCAACTTATTATCCGCACCATGATTTAATAAATTTAATAAATTTAATTAATTAATTATTATTAAATATTTTTTTTTAATAAAAAAAAAAAATAATAAATAAGGGTCCCTATTATCCATATATGTAACGAGCTTATTAAGTTGACCGGTTTCGAAACCGGAATTCGTGAAATATGGAATTTAGATTAGCGTTAGTAAAAAGGAAATTCGTTTTCGTACAATTGTTTACGTAGATCATGCAAAGCTCATGTACGCGAACAACGGGTTATTTGGGGCGTGCTGCAACAAAACCAGACAAAGTGAACATAAAAATTATAGGAGTTAAATATTTAAAATGTTTTTATTTACTGTTATATTTTATTTAGACAATCAATGAAATAAATAATTTAGTAGCTTGCGATTTTTGTGAATCTCATACTTAGCTTTAATTAGGTGAGTTTTTTTTGATTATTATAAAAGTGCGTGAACTTTTCAACTGAAATTTATGATGACAAGTATTTTTATAAACAGATTACACAAACTTTTACTGCGCGTCGTACAATCATCTGATCTATATTTGATATACGCAGAAATTTGGCTAAATATGGTCGACCTTTATACACGTCATACTTGCAAAGTAATATAGATGATCCTCAAGTCATTCATAAACTCATGAATCTTCTTAAGCGAAAGTTGCTTGGTGGAACAAATAACTTTGAAAATAGTCGAAAAGGTATTACTAGCCTAGCAATTCTATCATCTGTTGTAGGACTTGATATGTCACCGCAGTCTAAATTTGCTTCAGAGCTTGTAGCTTCACATATGGCCACTTGTCTTGCTGTATCAGAGGATAGAGAACGGTTAATTGTTGTTTATCCTTCTGAACCCTTGTTATCAGAGGCTGCTTTTGAATTAATGTCTGCTTCAACATTGTCACAAATATTAACTCAGTTCAACATTTTACTTAAGAAGAGTATTGTAGAACCTGGTCCTCGAGGAGAAATTGTTGCACGAATTATTCTAGTTCTTGTAGCTCATAGGTTGAGGGCACAAAGAGCAGAAAATAGTGTTAAAGCATTTCTTAACGAGCTTTATAAAGAAGATTCTATGCCAGATTTGAGTAATGCTAAACCAGAATTTATTGAAGGAACAGTTGCATTCACACATTTTAATGCAATTGAATATGTACCAACAAAGAAAACTTTAGAAGAGTTTTATATAAAAAGGTGTGCCTTTATTATGAAACGAAACCACCCTGGTGTAGATATTTGCATTCCTGTTAAATTAGTAACTGGCGGATATAGTATAATTATCATTCAAATCAAGAATATTAATTTTTCATCTGTAAAAGCTGATGAAAATTATCCTTCTTCTGCTAGATTTATGCTTAGTTGTAATTATGTGTTTAATAATTCGGACTTAAAAGAGCATGATGAACAATATCTTTGTTTATACTGGCAACTTCGTTTTCAAGGACATTATCAAGAGATTCCTAAACTTCAAGATACCCGCTCTTCAGAATCTAGAAAGCTAAATATATGTTGGGCTTCTTTTGGCTTTGATCATTTTAAAATGAATAAAGACGTTGCTAGTATTCTTAAAGACATTTTGGTTTCTCACATTTCACCATTTGAATCCGAATGGCAAGTTAATAATGTAGATAAAGGAGATATCTGGCATTGGAAAGAACTAAAGATTATGCATCCTCTTGGATATTATGAATATAATTACGAAGAAAAAAAATAAAAAAATGAAAATCATAAGCAAAGTTATATTTTTTATGGCTTTCTTTAATGCTAATAATATTGACAACTAAAACATATTTTAATTTTCATATAAATAAATTTTATGCTTTGCTTTTTTTATAAAATTTTTATTTTTTGATGTTTCTAAGTTGAATTTTTTTTGTTACAACATAATAAATTACAAATAAAATAATTGGAGTAACAAACCTTAAAGAATAGAATTTAATTTTTTTGTTATCATTATTTAACTCCTCTTTTTCTTTTTTAATATTAAAGTCTTTGTTTTTCAGATTACTGATTTCATTTTTGACTAGATGAACATTTTTCATATCTTTAGCATATCGATTACAATGATAATCAGAAAGAACATAAATTTTATCTGGCCCGTGATTATCATAAATAAGTTTAAAGGCTTCTTCATTTATATTACCAGGATCTAAAGTAAGAATTCAAATATCAAAATCAGAACGTATAATTTTTGCTCTTTTTCAATACTCAGTAATTTCCTGATTATTACCATTAATAAAAAAACATTAAGGAAATTTTTTGAAAGTTTTATTAAATTCATCTATTCTGAGATTGTTAAGTACAGATGCAAGGTTTTTATCTCTTTGTGTTCAAGAAGCAAGTCCAAAAACGATTTCCTCAATCAAATTTTCTTTTAAAAGTTTTAATAAATCTGCTGCAATAGTAGTGAAGGGTCGATTAGAGAGATAATTCTAATTTCCCATATATTTTTTTTCAAGTTCTGCAGTTTTCTTTTTATATTCATTAGGGTCAGTAATAGTTTTTCTTAAATTAGCACGATCTTTTTGATAATTTTCAAAACTTTTAAGATTTTTTTTAATCACTTTACTTTTTTCTTCATCTCCTCACACGCCATCAGGGCTTTTATAATCTCTTTTTTCTCAAAAAATTTTATGATACTCTTTAAAAGATATTGCCTTGTCAGAAATTCCATAAAGACATGATGATTTCATAGGTCTTATAACATCATTTATATTGCAAATAATTTTTAATTTTTTGCCTTTTTGTTAACTTTTTTAATTAAAGAGTATAAAGAATTAGACATAACATTTATATTTTTATTTTTATATTATATTGATTGCTCCTCCACCCATGGATCTGAGTTGGGCCATTAGGAAAATATCTTGTTCGGGTTTTGTTAGAGCTTGAAAGTTTTCCCGCAATTCGGCAAATTCTTCTTTTGGAATTTTATTTGAACAACCACAATTACAACCATTCTTTAAAAAATTTATTGCTTTTTCATACTCAGTAAAATTATTATGTTTATTTTCTTCATATATATAATTTTATCACTTTGTTTGGTTTTTTAAAATTTTTATTTTAAATAGCGATTAGAAAATTACTTGAAATTAGCTATAAAGAAATCACTTTAAATGTTGAAAAAAATTTTTTAATATACCGCAATCTGGGAAGTATTCAACTATAATTTTCGGTCGTACAGGATTACAAAATTGAGTATAACGATAACGATAAAGATTTACGAGTTCGAATTTTTTTTGGAAGCAGCATGTGATTTACTCAATATTCACTTTGTCTGGTTTTGTTGCAGCACGCCCCATTTATCATTATCATTTAATCGAGCTCCCGCAGCAACATAGTGATAAAATTTTTTTTTTTTTTTTTTTTTTTACGCCGTATTATGCAAAAAAAAAAAAAAAAATCAAAACGGGGCGAAAACAATACGTAAAATAACAATTTCTTTTACGAATTAGTGTTCTTTTTATTTTTGTGATGAGACTCGGACACCTTGAACATCACAATTATTGAGCAAAAAAAAATACCAATCTTTTTTTTTACCCAACATCAGGATTTCGCTAAAAAAAAAAAAAAATGCGTTGTCCGTGAGTTGTAATCTATCAATCTATCAATCTAGCATGCAAATGCAATAATGGTGTAATGGCAAAATGTAGTGGTGGTGGTGTGAAGTGTGAATGTACCCCACAGAATATTGAAGTTTTCAAAAAAAAAAAAAAAAAAAAAAAAAAAGATGAATAAAAGGTAATAAATAATAAAAGAGAATCGATTTTCTCGATACGATCCGAGCGCTTAATTACTGCGTGAGAAATAATTCCCTTTGACACGTTAAACGATTTACTGCGCCATGTCGGCCTAATTAAAAAAAAATCCATTTCCTAAAAAGAAAAGTATTTTTCATACACGAAAGAATTTTTTAAGTTATAGTTTTATTTAAAATTAAGTTTAATGGATTGACTAGTTCAATTTTTAGGTTAATTATAACTTACTCTAAACAATGGGACGTTTTTGTTTGTTAGCAAGAGATCATTT